CCCCCCCCCCTTCCCCCCCCCCCCCCAGCCGCCGGGGGGGAAGCGGCGCGGCCCAAGGGCGCCGGCCTCGCTGCCGCCCCCCCGCAGCCCGCTCCTGCAGCAAGGCGGACGGGGCCCTTCACACTTTGCCGGGGGCTGCAAGCGCAATTGGCCGCGCAGCACCTTCCTTTGGCCCTAAGCGAGCTCCGGGCAAGGCAGCGTAGCCCTGTCTCCTGCAGAGAGTGGTGTCCCCTGCGGGGAAGGAGCAATTCCTCAGGCCGCGGGGCTGCAAAGGTCCCGCGATGTCCATCTCGCAGTTTGCACGGTCCTGCAAGAGAGGAGTTGGGTTACATGGCCGTGCAAGGGCCATGGCTCCCTCTCCTGGCTCAATTTGTTCTCCCAACTTTGAGCTTCTCGCAGTGAAGTGGGAAGCCGGAAGCTGTCTAAAATCAGAGCTCCCTCTCCCAAACGGCTAAATGACATTCGGAGTCTTGTCAATAAAGCACCAGCATAGCGTGCAGAGTCCTAATATTACTGCTCACCCTCTCCGCTGTCCGCCTGTCACTCGCCCTGTGAGAAAGCAAAGGGCTCAGAGAAAAGGTGTCTTTGTGCTATTTCCACTTCTCCTCTCCATAGTGCGCTAAGAGTGCAGAGCTCTCGTTAGCAAGAACTGTGGCACTGCACAGGGCCTAGCACGATGCAGTGCAGCCTCACCCCAGAGAAGTGGTAGCTACTCAGTCCAACGTAAATATGACATGTCTGCCGTGGTGGGACACGTCTAGAGGTACTGAGAGGAACGGCTCTGCCACCAGCTGGCCCTTCACTTAGTGCCTGCAGGTCTTTTTCAACATCCGTAGGAGCCACTTGGCAGACCTGGTGCACAGCTCTGTATCAGTGATACCAAAATGGCACGCACCCTTTACCTTATCTCTGCCACAGACATAGCCCTGGTGAGACTAAAATATTTCCAAGGAAAACAGTAGTGATGCTGATGAGTGGAAGAAGAGTTTGCAGAAATTTGTGCCAGCACCTTCTCCTGAAGAATACAGCCAGAAATAATCAGTACAGTCTCTATTGCAGGAGTGCTCTTACCCTGAGCAGGGATGAAAGCTTTCTGTCCCCCCAGGTTGGCCGGGAGACTCTGTTCCATCCTGGCAACAAATGACCCTGCCTTATGCATGCTTTTGTCTCCTCTTGGCAAGCTGACACCAAAGCCATATATCTGGACACAAAGCCTCTAGTGCTGAGGAGGTTTCTATTAGTTCAAAGTGCTGCAGCACATCTTAGCAATATTGGCTACAATATTCCTTCCACACTGGACCAAGCTCAAGATCTCAGTCCTTATCTCCAGTCCATGGGCCCAGGAAATCTAGAAGACCAAAGTTCACTCCATCTCCTGAAGCCGCAGTGCAGGGACTGCTCCTGGGAATCCTACTCCCTGCGCAGTGGAAGCATCTGCAACAAACTTGTCCTGGAGAGCAGGGCCTGGTCAGGGTACCTGGTGCGTCCTCTCACAGCTTCTGCTAGCACACATCTCCGCACCCATGTAGGTGAACACTATCGACGCGAGCTGTTGTGAAAGGAGGGCCTTGTCCTCATCAGCCCACCCCAGCTTGTCAGGGTCGGCATATTTGAATTTTCCTCCTCCAAGGAAGAGTGACTGTGGCTGCTGTGCCACAAGGTGAGAAGGTGTTATGATGGGAGGCCAGGCTGGCTGCTTGCTCCTCCTGCTCTTATGGTTCATATTTTCCACCTGCACTACCCTGCAGGATCAGCTATTCCTCTTGAACCTTTGTACTCTTCCCTTTCCAGGGCACAGGAAAAGCAGGCAGAAACTTTCTTGTCTCAGCAGCTTTCTTGTCCCTTTGGTTAACTGCCCTTGAAAAAATGTCTACTTGACTCGTGTCTAGAGTCAGCTCTACTCAAGCCATCTCTAACCTAAATCCATCCAAGTATTTCAAGCAACATGTTAAGGCAGAGCTCTTTATAGGCTAATCTATCACACTTTTAGGGCGGATCAGTCTGTGTTTTGCCCCACGCTAATTGCACAGCTCCAGGATCTGAGCCAGCTTGTCTGGAGTTACTTTATGCGTCTGTACCCTCAGCTTCATTATTGAATATAGACAAAATTGGAGTAGCAAGGCACATTTTGTGACCTGTATTTTCCACCATACCTGTATGTGGAATATATGTGCTTAAAAACTTCTGTTGAAACAAGACAGTCCACTTTTCCTCAGAGCAGGAATAACAAAGGCATTACATATTTCAGTTGTGATACTTCATACAGTTGTGGGAGTAGCTCAGCTGCTCTGGTGACTGATGTGTTATAAGAGTTAAATAATAATGATAATAATAATAATGATACCCTCCTATATAGTGCCTTCCATCCATAGATACACATCTGAGATAGGACATGCTGTTACTCTTGCTTGGGAGGATCTAGGCACTGTTGCAGTACTAGTAACGCAGGTTAACAGTCATCTATACATACATGCACCCTGAGAAATTCGCACCATTCCAAAATCTTAAAGCCTACCTCCATCACTGCATATGATAGGCTTTACACTAATGTCATTAATTTTCTCTGATTTTGGTGGAAAGACAGAATTCAGTGTTAGACCCTTGAAAGGCTTATGACCTAAGGTTCAAGGCCAAGTTTCCAGAGACTGTTTTCAGACTAAAGGCGTTATCAAAATCCCAAACTACACCTGCTTGCTTGTTTTCATGGGAAATATTTCAAACTCTTTTTGCTTACAGATCAAAAAAATCAGCAACTCCCTACTGTAAAATGAGGGTAATATTGCTGTCTTGAGCTCAGGGCTGTCATAAGGCTTATTTTCGTACTGCTATTTTTTCTCCTATCTGCTCTCTGTGCCAGTGTGTGCTATTTCTATGCAGGGTTAAAATGCAGCACGGTTACACCCTAGAGTGAATTATACTACAGTTTTAAGAGCAATTCAGTAAACACAAAACATTTTTAAGCACAAAAAAGGCAGCATTATGCCACAATTTTAGGCAGGGAGCAAAGAGTAGCATTACTAAGTGCAACCACAGGGGAGGACTTTAATAACAGAGGAATGTGTTGGCGTGTAGCCAGGACGCTGGAGCTGCCAGTATTACAACTGCTGTGAAAATATTCCACAGACCTTCAGTTACAAGTGGCCAAAGACCTCAGTTTGCTGCTATTCTCCTTTTCCTGTCAGTTAACTTTAGAACTAGATACACACAAGGAACCTGGATCACACAGTCCTGTTCTCTGCCACGTGCCCCACAATGTCATATAGTCCTTTCCGTGAAGAGACTAAGCTCCATCTTAAAACAAGTTCATGTTTTCTGTCCCTGTTACTCGTCCTAGAAGATTTTCCTAAACTGTCCAACTCCCTTACGGTCAGAAACCTTCTTGTCTTTTCCATGGCCAGCTTATTCCCACTTGTACTGGCACCAGCATTGGCTCTCATATCAGTTCTGCTCCCCACTGTTTACTCAGGTATTTTTATAGAAATTGTTCTTGCCTCCTTTTCCTCCTAGTTACACAAACAAGCTTTTCAGTCTTCTTTCCTAAACGACTCTCCATTTCCCTTGTACCTCTTCTCTGCATCTGCTCCAATTTAAATTATTCTTAAATAATTTAAGAATATGGATATGCATATGGATTACAAATTTAGTTACAGTATTAAATGGGAGGAAGTCTCACTGATGCTTTGCACAATAACATCAGATGCGCAATTTTTCCCCGAAATATCTCACCTTGTAATCCCAGGATTGTATTTATCTTTTCAGAACTAAACTGTAGTGGTGGCCCATTAGTCATCCTTTGCTCCACTATTAGACTCATATTTCTCCTCCACTCCTGCTTCCATGGTAAATTCCCAGATTATATCAGGAACTTGTTATTATTCTCTTGCCAGGTTCCAGTTCTCCTACATGTGTTCTAAGCCTCATCCTGCATGTGGTTTTCTAATTTGTTCCTAGCCAGCATTTCTGATACTGGGAGACCAAGGCAGTTTCCTAACTTCTGAAAGACATGTTCTTGCTTGTTATTTTACCATTTTTCCTCCTTCCCAGTTCAGGAAACAAGCCCTACGCCACATATAATTATAGTCTATGTAGTTATAAATGAATGTGCCTTCTGTGTTTTA